CGTAACATTCTGCCTCGTTTACCAAATACGCATCAATCATTTGAGAACATCTGACTCTTAAAAAGGCCAAACAAAAAAAGTTGTAAGCTTTTGTTTGATCAATTCAAGAGATGATGAACATGAATGCTTTTGTCTGATTTGCAGGGTGCTATAATAGGTTCACATAAAGGGAGCTGTCGAATGTACAGCATAGAGGGTACAGTTTCATGCACATCTCTATATTAAATTCCAACCGATTTACTATAATAACGATGATTTATATTGTTTAATTTAACTTACTTTGAAGTATAGATTCCAAATTAGAACAAAAGAACCAGGTTGATTTTCTAAGCAAAAAGAAGTCTACTGGAAAAAAGATCACTGGTTTCCAAGTAATCCTTTGTTCTTCTAGCCTTCATTGTTAACTTTTGCTAAGTGAATTCAATTATGGTGTAATAACTTGGTACCTTAACAGTTTGTTCCAGGTAGCCCTACTGAAGTGCTGGTTACTTCTGCTGATTCTCGAATTCGGATCTTGGAAGGCACCGAAGTAAATCACAAATTCAAAGGTAAGAAAACTCTCCATGTCCACCTAAAAGCAGTAGAGAAGAAGGAAGGTCAATTGCCATATGTTACAAACAAACAAATAAATAAAACTTTATTGTTTTCTTACTAATTTGTTGTTCTAAATTTTAGAAGTTGATTGATAGAACTGACATGGGATATCAGGTTTCCGAAATACCAGCAGCCAACTTACAGCATCATTCAATCAAGATGGGAAATATGTGATATGTGCAAGTGAAGATTCTCAAGTTTTTGTATGGAAGAGAGAGGAGCCAAGAAATCCAAGAAATCCAAATTCTGGAAAGAAATGTTTGATAGCAACCAGAGGTCATGAACACTTCCCTTGTAGAGATGTTTCTGTAGCAATCGCATGGCCTGGAATGATAAGCGGTAAACCGCCATTGGTGCAAATGTACTCGAAACGACATTCAAAACGAGGCCAATCGCAGCCACCTTCAGCCTGCAGCTCACCAACTCGAGAAGAAAACGGCTCATTTGTAAACCCTAAGAAACTATTGCCACCTTTACCAAAGAAATACAACAATAATACCTCACCTCCTCCAGATGAGGAGCAGCAGCAGCAGCAGCAGAGACAGCAAGCTCAAGTTGCTCGGTCGGAGTCGAGAACTGGTGAAGCACTCAGTCCATCACCTTCAGCCTCTATCAGGTATGGCGATTCGCCTTCTATTTCTTCTTCTGCTGGCATCAACAACAACCCATCAGCTTCGCCCTGGCCTTCCTCTTGGTCCTGGTTTGATGTTGGAAGCAGCCATGGCCACCATGCTGTCCCAGCTACTGCATGGGGATTGGTCATTGTGACAGCTGGGTTGGGAGGTGAAATAAGGGTCTATCAAAATTTTGGACTGCCACGTAGGATTGGACGACAGACTAATTTCTGGCAAACTACATAGGATTGCTTGGTTGATCATAAAACAAATTCCATGGTGTTCTACTTAGGATCGGGAATTTGCTTCTAGTATTACCATGTTGGAACTCTTCTAGTGTATTAAGTTCTAGGATAAAGTTCTCAACATATATAGGACTAAAATACAAGCTGCTGGAAGGTTGTTTCAGAGAATAAAGCTCCTGTTTTTGTAGATTATTGTTACATAGATCACATGTGAACTTCAGAAACTAATGTAAAAGTACCCTACCTGCGAACAATTTTTCTTATTCAACAATATTACAATAGGTTTTTGTATATACCACCAGAATGGTGATAGCTATGGATTAATTCAGGCAATTCAGTCTTAAAATAGGTTTAACCAGAGAGGCAGCTATTAGCCTACTGGTGTTCTGCTTTTTTTACTGTAATAAGGGTAGGAAATAACGTCACTATCTCCTGCAATTATCTAATTGGCATCGTTTCCAAATTCTAATTCAGTGATTTCTGAAACCGTCAAAAAGTCTTGACAATTTTGATATAATTCGATGGAATGCAAATGTAGAAGCAAAAAGATCAATCTTGTTGCAGCAGATCAATGTTTCTACTCAAGTAGTCAAATTATGTGTTTTTTTAGATCTAAACATTACAGCATATGAAAAGAGAGCTGATGGACAAACCTCAAATCATCTCTGGAAACGTAATAAATAACACCGCAGCTATGTTGCCTTGAGTTACAACTGCAGATTTATGATTATTTTCTTCCCCATGTGAAGGCTTTTTATTTTCAGAGACGTGGAGGTAGAACACCAATCTTCTTGGATACTTCGGCCTCCATTCCTTCCCATTGAAAAACTGCAGAATGCAGCATTAGAGTATAAGGGAAGAACAAAAACTGTAGATACAGCCAGAACCACTTTTATAGACAAAAATTTATTTTAAATTTTTGAAGCGTTAAAAACATGCGAGATTGATTGGAAAGCACATATCGTGATAAGAAGCCGAAGGAAAGCACAGATAAGGATCAGCTACTTCAAAATTAAAATCAGCTTGATCTAGTCTTCAACTAACGACCAACTGTACTACTGCAAAATTAAGGGCTCAAGCATAAAATTACAGTCAAAACCTTTCAAGATATAAGTGAGGGCAGTGTATTTTACATGAACAGACAAGAGATGTAGTAATTACCTTTTCCAAGCAGCGGTGTTTTGCGCCCATTTACTCGTAATGTAGGTAGCCACCATTACAAAAATATAACCAGCAACAGTTTGTGTTGCGATATTGAATCCCAGCCATTGGTGAATCTCAGTTGTGTAGTTGGCATAAGTTACAACATGAAAGGAAAGGAAACCCACGTGGAATTTTGTAGCCTCCCTTTCCACTACGGTCTCTAAGACTCTTCAATATGAGATGGTGATATAAGTTAAAGATTTGACAGAGTAATCAAAATCCAAAACCAATCTTCATTTGGCGGTCATACACCAGGGTGTAAAGTGGGTGGTTTATGTAGTACGCTATGAGAGCTCCAAAACTCCAATGATACGTGTAGTTACGGAAGACACTTGACAAGGGTGAAGCTGTATGACTAAGCCTATGAACAAGAAGTTCTACATGATCCGCTTAGACTAATGGAGGAAATAATAGTACATGGCATACGTCTGAACAGGGTAGGTATGACGCTCCTCTATTTAGTCAAAAAAAAACTTAGACTGGGTGGGATAGAGATAACAAGTGGTTCTATAAGAAACTTCGAGACTCGGCGACAACAGAGAAATTTGGTAGCTGACAACAGACAAATTTTGTAGAATTTTTTAGAAAAAGATAACTATGTATAACTATGCTTAATTGATTTTTTACATCTTCCACCCATGCCAATAGTATATATATAGAGGTAATTTGGGACATTCAAGCACCATTCATTATGCCCTTAATTTAATTAGGAACTAATGAACCTACATGTATATACATGTACCAGTGATCCTTTAACACATGTATCTACCGGTGTTCCTTCAACACATGTATCTATTCATATATGTATCTATCAGTGATCCTTCAACAGGGATCGTCCTTAAATGTGATGGTAATCGCAGTAATCTTGGAGTTTCTTGCTTGAGATTAGAACAATAGGACTCTTTTGACCCTGGTTTGGCAGACAGGGTAAGACGCTGTCTAGAGGAACAGTATTTTCTTCCTGTTGAATGGGAGAATACAATAAGACAATCAGTTTGCTGAGTTTGGGAGACATTAATCTCTCGTTTATCGTGTTTGGAAGAGATTAAGTGGGAAAATTGAAAGATATAACAAAATACATGAGGAATTGCCAGCTAGTATTGTATCAATCAATTCATGCTTTAGCAATCCAGAAAGACAAAAGAAAGCTACTGCAACACATGATCAGAAGTTAGAACTAAACTCCTTTTTATCTCATCGAACGCGTAATTATGAATAGTAAGACCTTGCTGCACTAGAACTTCCGTTATCATTCCTATTGAGATGGATTTTCAATATGACAGAGCAAGCAGTCGATAAAATCAATGATTGTAGCAGAAGCGCTAAATCTAAAGCTTAATCAACCAGAAACTGATGACAGAAACAAAAATAGTGGAGTCAAGACTTGCGTCGCTGATGAATGGTCTCCTGCGAGTCTTTCACCGTAGTCTACAAATCTTCATACAGAAGTAAATTAAGTAGACACAAATTCAGAAATAAAGAAGCAATAAAACAGTGAGATTCCGATTTTCGACTCTATCGCACAAAGATACATCAGAACAACAGGCTCCACGTAAAGAAACACAGCAAAGTCCGCGTAATCTCATTAACCAGGAGAGCTTCCGACTACAATAACAAAGAACGAGAAGCTCACCGAATCATCGATCTGAACGCCGGCAGCGATGATTTTCTCTACCACTCCTGGAAACAATGGAGACCTTCATTGATTGGACTAAATGTGGACGAAATGTGGACGAAGTATACACTGATTCTTGTTGCAGCAGCGAGGTATTGTAAGATTAGAAAAGAGAGAAGATGAAGGTATGAGAACTGATTAATGGCGTGAAGTTGGAAGTTCTGGGAGTTATGGCGAGCCGACGCAATGAAACTAGGCGGAGTATTAGGTGGACCCACTTGGTTAAGTCATTAGTGAATATTATGGGATGTGAGGGATAGCCATTTTAGTTTTTATTTTTTTTACTTTCTTTTTCTAAAAAGAAATATCATAATTGTTTTTAGTTTTTATTTTTTTATTTTTTTATTTTTAAATACAAACTTGTTTTATAATTTATTTTTGTTTGAAATATTATTGAATTTATTAAATTATATTGAAAAATATAAATTATCCATTAAAATTTTGTTATAAATCAATATTTAAAAAATATATAAAAAGGTGAGGAAAAATTGTCCATAGAGAATCCATAAATCTGTCCAATCTTGAACACTAACTTTTTTCTTTTTTCTTTTTTCTTTTTTCTTTTCTTTTTTTTTTTCTTTTTTTTTTTTGTAAAAGTGAAGATTGAAGAACAAGCAATTAGCTAGTGCTTTCAAAACAAAAGAACGGTGAGATAAATTTTGGCGGGAAGGAAAAATGGAGGTCGGCGGAGGAGGAGATGGAGGTTTTAGTCCTCGCGCCAGCGTAGAAGACATACAGAGACGGCTGCTTCGACCGTCGTCGATTCACTCACCACCTCCGACGCCGTCAATCTCGATATTCTACTTATTTCTCCATCAATTTCACTAGTAATGTTTTTTAATCTCCTTGAGACCTGAACTTCTAGAATTTCTCATGTTTATTTCCAGGTTTTCTCGCGGCAAAGATGTTCAAGGTCGAAATTCATCGCAGTTCGAGGCGAATGCCATGGGGCTTTATCGTAAACAAGAAGCAAAAGAAGGAGAAACTGCGAGAAGGAAGAGGAAACTCGAAGATTACTTGGATCCGGTTCTTCTCTCTGCGGTTTCTTCGAAGATCAGTCGTGCGCAGAAGGTTCCTAAGATGAAGGTAAAGAGAGAGGTTAGGGATTTTGAGTGGCCCGTCGCTGAATTGAGGATGTTGATGGATGATTCGACGGTCGGAAAGGGGAAAATTAATACTGTTAATCTCGGTAATGACTCTGATAATCTCACAGAAAATAATGAAGAAGGAGATGTTAAATTCTCTACTCCGTTTCAAAAATTTGAGCAGACTGCGTTGGTACTGTTCGAATTATGAACTGAAATTGAAATATTAACTAACAAATGTAGGAATGTACAAAACTGGATAGAAATAAAGAAGATCGGAGGCTTGTTTCTGTTTATTTGCATTTTGTAGTCATACAAAGGGCCCTCTCTCGGTCTGAGATGAATTCTTCATCCCAATCTTGAATAGAAAAGGAGATACTATCATCTTTGATCACTGATTGAATAAATACTATTGCTCTTTGTGATCATTCTCTGTGAGAATTTGCGAAGTAGTTAATTATTGCCATTTTTACATGTTAATGTCATTTTTACATGCTTCTGGATTGCCATTTTTACGTGTTAATGTCATGCATTCATTACACATGAAGAAGAACAATTATCATTAACATTTTAGCGCTATTTTGATGAACCGATAACATTTTACTATGAGTATGATCCTTTAAGAAAATGAATCAAACTTTGTCAAGTAAAATTGAACTGCGCCTTATTGTATGATCATTTTGTTAAGTAATTTTTTAGTTGTCCTAAAGTTATTTGTACTTTGAGAGTTCTGTATTGGCATGAGAGAAAAGATATTCTCGCATGGAAAGATCATTCTTGTATGAGTGTTTAGCATGGTAGATTTCCCCCCTTCTTTTCAAGTCGGCATAAAAATTCCAGAGAGATCTGTTTTAACTTTCTGGCTGTTTACGACTAGAGTTAGGTAAACTGAGGTGGTTAAGACTTACTATATAAGGTTTAATTAGTTGTATTACTGTTTTGTTGATAGAACCTAGAAGTCTTTGATCACTGATTGAATAATACTATTGCTCTTTCTAACTGAAATATTTACTTTTCAAATTATATATAACTTCTATCATCTTTGATCACTGATTGAATAATACTATTGCTCTTTGTGATCATTCTCTGTGAGAATTTGCGAAGTAGAACGGGGATTGAATACCAAAGCATAAAATTTTATTTACTTTTCAAATTATTAGAATAGAAAAGGAGATACTAATTCTAACTGAAATATGTGATTTTTTATTCGCTTGATGAAAAGCCTTCGTGAGATTATGATTCGGTTTACTATATATAGTTTATTAGGTATAGTTAATTATTATATATAATTATGTATCACATATAGTTTTACTGGATATAGCTTTTTGCTATACATAATTACTTACTATATATGACTATTACTTTATAATTACTTACTATATAACTATTACTTTATATGTCATTTATTATACAAGGCATGTCATTTACTATATACAAGTAAACTAAGGGTATGCCTTGTTTGACCATAGGTTTACAACTCCCTATTAAGTTCAAAGTTTTTAGGTCTTGTGTAATGATTAAATGAATAATATTAATTTGTTCCTTTTTAACTGTATGTTAAAATTTCTTTGTATATGGAATGTTAAGACATTTGTTGTGGCAATTCAATCTATTACTAGTAAAAGGGATTACTTTACTTTATGGTGGATTTTGTGTGTTCTTTCTTTTAAATGCTATAGTTACATTAGATATCAAGTTTGTATATGCATCATTGTCTCGTGGAATCTTTCTATAGATTCATTTCTACACGTACAAAACTAAGTGGCAGCATCAGCTGTTTCTTTAATCAATGTTTTAGAAGGCTTTTAAGGCTTGTATTTTGGGACTTGCTCAAAGTATGATTCCAACATTTAGCCTCAAGACTTATACCTTCTTTGGACCATAAGAGGCTTATGCCTCCTTGGAAATGCGTTAAGAATCGAGGTCTTTACAACCCATATAATGATTGATTAGAAGAGGCGAAATAAACAAGCTTGTAAAGTAGTTCTTCTTTGGAATCAGATAATATACGCACCATTGATTTGATATACTAGTTTCCCAAACTGCAGGGCTTAAACCGAACAAGAAAGTGAAAGATAAAGGGTAAGAACCATTTATAAAAGACGTGAAAAGGAAAAGGCAAAAGAATTATTCTCTTGATTTGCTCAATCTCTGACCGCTGGTAGTGTATGAGGTGTTAATTTGAGGTCCTTATCATAGTTTATCCGATATTTGTATGATGTTTACTATTCCTTTGATTCTCTATGCTTCTGCTCATCTCTGCTGTTTGCAGGCTACAGGGTGCCACACCACAGATGGATGCTACTGACCTTTTCTTTACTCGGCCACCACGACGGACGAGGAGAGATGCCTGCCCATTGCTGATGGTTGTACTCTGTCCCTGCTATTGGAGAATCATTGGGATACGAGATTTGCTTTGGACTCTCCATCTACCGTAAAACTTCCCTTTTTGTCGACATTTGGAGTTGCATTTTCATGAACATGGAGCATGGAATAGACTTCCAAAAAGAAAAAGGTCCCCTCCATTTTCATTGTTTATTTATAAAAAAAAATTAATTTGTGGGCGTTAATATTTATTGATTCTAAGGATAAAAACGTCATTTCAGTTTCTTTAGTTTTTTTTGGGCGATTCTATCGATTTCCTTTTGTTATTTTTTTTCTGTTCTTTTCTATCTGCTTTTTTTCTCTCGGCATCGAATCTGAACTTGTTTTTTATTCCAAACATTATCTTCTCCATGTTAAATTTATCTCAATTCTACCATTTTCTTCCAGTTCATCTTCATATGAATTGACTGAATATGGGTAATTGGATATCTCACTGTTCTCTAGCTTAATGAAGTGACAGAAATTCCAGTTCATAATATGAAAACAGGGAATAGACGTTGCCCTGGCCTTCTGTGGAGTTTGTGGGCCTCTGATGTCACTGCAGTACAAAAGTAGTCTCATTGTGGTCTTTTCTATCATCCCTTTTGCCCTGCCAATCAGAAAATGCTCGAAACAAATGGCAACCCCTCTCTCTCTTACTGTCTGTTCTCTAATGATTTGAATTCAATGTTTTTCTTCTTAACATTTTCCTCGCCTGCAGCCACCGTCTTTGGCGTCTCCTAGTATATCAGATCAACCACCTCGGTCTCAGCCAGCGCTTAGGAGGTCCAGCGTATTGATGGCTCAACAGGTCTCTCTCTCTCTCTCTGTCTCGGAGTTTCTTTACTTTGTATACTTCTGAATAATGAGCTGAATTTTTTTAAGTTTGAATTGATTTCTAAACCAGGACGACGGGTGGCCTTTGGGATTAAGACTACTAAATGCTAGAGTTGGATTGCTGGAAAACCGGGACTTTTCCGGATCAATCTCCTTCAACACTTTGCCCACTGGATCTCCGATCTCCTTCGCGGACTCTTCAGATCTTGATTCTCAGGTATGTCCATAAACTTTATACTGCCTCTTGTTTTTCTTGTTTTTTTTTAGGAATCACGAATCTACTCAATAGTATAATAGTGTCCGCTTTACCAAAAGGTCTCGTATTAATGTAGATGTATTACTTATAATAAATGCGTCATCATTCTCTAAATTTGCGAATACGGGACTCCCTCCCAACAATCATCATCATTCCCTAAATTTGAGAATATGGGACTACTGTTGAACACAACTCACTGTGAGAAACACTCGCACTCCTTATTAAGACCAATCGAAAAGAGAATACAAGACACTCTATAGAATACTATAGCTCTTTATTGTTTTTGGATTTCTTGGATGAATAACCTACGTACGGTGGGGTATTTATACTAAGCCTAAACAATCTATATTTAACCGATCTAAATCTAGACCTAACAAATCTAAATTTTTCTCTCTCTTTCTCCTAAAATCTCTACTAAAATAAATATACAAGTTCTTACAATTATTTGGTTTGACTCTACTGCGTTAGTACAATTATTGGGCTTGACTCTATTGAGCCAGTGATGATATTTCAACAACTCCCTCCCAACAATCTTCGACCATTTTCTCTGCATTTTTTGTGTTGTAAATGGTCACAATTTGTCTTCAACTTCTCCCGCTTTGTGTTCCGATTGATTGCAGTCAAGTGGGTCATTCCTCCATGCTAAAAGCATCAGTGGAGGTAGTCTAATAAGCGGTTCTGACATCGTGGAGCTCTCGAGAAGATCATCAAGAGGGGGAAGCACAGAAACCAGCCTAGGAGGATACAGAAAGAACGACTTCAAGTCCAAGCCATGGTTGTTTTCTCTTTGCTGTAAACTAAGCACCGACGCTGTGAGCGTCACCAGAACTCACTCGCTGGCTCACTTTCTGGAAGCGGAAAGGAGGAGAACCGCCGCTAATTGCCGGAGGAACCAGCTGAGAGCAATGATGCAAGGGCGGCCACGTCCCAGTAATTTGTTGGCCAGCTGAAACACTCTCTTTAAGTGAGGTACTTGGGACCCTTCATTTTCTAGTTTGGTTATTTTCGTTTCTTCTCTCTTTTTGTGCATATTCGGATGGAGAGTGTTACTTTGTGGGTTCTGTTCATTTAAATTCGGAATATGAAAATTCAAGTTAATCTAAATGTAGGCCAAACGAGGTAATTGTTAGGTACTATTTTCTTTAGAATGGTACATTCGAAATTTCGTACACTCCCAAAAAGTTTACTAAAAAAATTAATGTGAATATAGGCGGTTTAAATTAGGAGTAGGGGAGGGATTGAGAGAACTTTCTAAAGAAAAGTTATTATGTCCTTTTTTTAAAGAGAAGGATAATAAATTTTCTAGTTTTCAAAACTTCAGGTTGATTTTGATTTGAATCATAGGTAAAATGTAGATTAAAAAAGAAGTAGTATTTTTAAGTTTAATTTTTAAAAATTAAAAAAATTTAAATAATTGTCAACGGACGACTGCAATGAACAGATTCAACTTACTAGAAATTTGTAAATATTGGATCTTCCATTATTTAAATTGTGTATCTCTGTCACGTGATTGTCATATGATTGGATGATGGAAGAAATCTAATGTTTGAGTCAATTATAAATAATATCAACAACATTATACATGTTTCATATAATTTTCTTTTTACTAAGTTTGATTTCTCATTTGTAATTTAAATCTAAGATTGATCCCATCATCAACAAATGAAAAAGACTAAATTTGTGATGTTTTACGTTTAAATGATTATTTGAATTTTTAATTTTTAATCGTTATTTATCATTTATATATTATATCTGGTATATAAGTACGGTATTAAATTTTTGTCTAAGATTTGTATTAACATTTATAGATTTGACCTATATTTTAAAAACAATATATATGTGTATATACTTAAAAAAAAATCAAATAAATTTATATTTCATATGAAAAAAAAAAAGGAAAC